TAGCCCAAGTCTAGAAATCCCTCAGACCAGGCATAGTTTAGCAGAGCTATACTGATCTGGACTTTTCTGAACTTTCCTCGTAACAGATCTATATCTTAACATAGAATAAAATTAATGTCCTGTTTTTGTCCCACAGAAGCCTAGAGCTGGAGGGACTAAAGATGTAAGGATGGCTCATAACCCCAAACTGTATGGGGTTAGGGTTAGACACCTAGCCGGCATAAAAAGCAGGGGGTGGGATACACAGCCAGGGAGATAAACAGCCCCCAATCATTGCCAATGACTCCTTTGATCTCTTGCTGGTACCTTCCATTGGCCAAATCCAGCAAAGGAAGGTGGGTAAGAAAACCCCCTGCTTCTGTCTGTAAAGCCTCCTGTGGCACAGAGTGGGATGAAAGAGTAGAGAGTAGATCTGGGGGGCAAAAAGAAAGCACGCTGCACATGACCTTCACTGGGCTGTGGACATGTTCCCTGTACTATTGTGTTAGTATGTTTTCCCTCGCTGTGACAGAATACCCAAGACAAATAACTTAAGAGGAGAAAAGTTTTATTTAGGTTCATGGCTTCAGAGGTTTCAGACCATGGTTGGTTGGCCCATTGCTTTTGGGTCTGTGCTGAGGCAGCAGATCATGGTGGGGAGCAGCTGGTAGGCCAAAGCTGCTCATTTCGTGACTGCCTGAAGGCAAACAGCAAAGGGCTGGAAGCCCAATATCTGCTCTAAGGACATACCCCAAATCATATAACTTCCTTTCACTAAGCCCCACCTCCTAAAATTTATGCCATATTCCCCAGTGCTACAGGCTAGCAACCAAGTCCTTCGTGGGCCTCTGGGGGGCATTCAAGACCAAAATACAGCACCTACTTTCTAGTTTTCAACACTAATCCTGTCTTTGGAATGCAGCTGGAAAAACAAAACAAACAAAAAAGCAGATGAACTGATCTCAAGAAATGATGGAATAATTCACTGACATTTCCAAATATTTAACTTACTATAGGAAACAAATGCACTCTCTTGCATTTCCAGATAAAATTTAAGTTAATTCCTAATCTGACTCTTGCACTTAGTTTGAAGGAAACTGGCTCTGTAAGTGTGCTGACCAAAATACAGCCAATCTGCCTGGACACTTTAGATCACCAACTTTCTAATAGTACAGAAATCTTCTAGACTTACACATCAGGAGTGGCCATGGATCTACCCTCCAGAGGCAAGATGCCATTGGCCACTGGGTTCTGACATCTCTACCTTCTACATCTGAGGGGTTTACATTAAGGGACCCTAGGCCACGAAATCTTCATGTTCTCTAAGGGGTGTGGAAGGTACCATTAATTAATAGTGTTCTCCTAAAAAACATTAGACYCACATTACCCAGAGTCTGTGTTCCCCTAACACAGCCAGTTCCTTAGCAATTTACTTAGTTGCTATAAAAGTCCTTGTACTTTGTTTCTACATTTCCAGATAAAATTTAAGTTAATTCCTAATCTGACTCTATTCAGACCCATGTAGACTCCTTATCATCACCTTGGCAGGTAGGATGTCAATATAGACCCTTCAGATAACTAACTTTCTAGCAGGACAGAAATCTCTTCTGGACTTCCATGCCAGCTGTGGCCATGGACCCACCCTCCAGAGGCAAGGGTAGATACCACTGGCCATGGGTTTTGAACTCTATGCCTCCTCTCTCTGAGGGGTTTCCATTAATAGACACTAGGCTATAAAGCTTGGGAGGGACACAAAACATTCAGACCATAGGACCCCACTATTAATAATTAGATGCTTATATTTTTTTATTGCTTAAATTAATAAAAGAAAAAGTTGTATTAGATTGCCAGACTGAAGCCTAGCCCACTACATCTGATGATTCATTATATCTCCTAGGCCTAGACATACTAAATTCTTTGTAAATGTTTTGGGGATAAGGGAATTAAATGAGTGAGTGTGGTTTGAAGCCAGTAATTTTCTTGTTCGTTTCCAATTTTCTCTGTGATCAGTACTTTCCTTAGTGAAAAATCAACGTCCTTCCACAAGTCTCAATTCTGAGTTTCCCTAAGTTTCTTTCTCTCTACTTCTGCTAATTCCTGCCTACCTACTTACTATTTGAATCTGGATTTCATAAACATTACAGAACAGATACAGGATTTACAACAGGCAAGAAACAAAGAGCAGACTTACTAACTGAATGGAGCTCTCAAGGGGGTTGCTATTTAAAGACAAATCATTTCTGGTTATTTAGCAATTATGAAGATTAAACATGGTAATATTTTTGAGAGCACTTTATAAAGAGATAGTGTACTATACAATTATATTATACAGTATACTATGCAATCATAAGTGTAGATTATAATAATACAGTTTGAGGAAAATAACTCCCAGAATTTACCCAGTTCACTCTTCCCTAAATGCCCAAGAACATTTGTATATCTTTCTACTAGATATTAATTCAGGCTGAGGTCAAGAAATCCAAGCAATGGTTAATACTAGTTTAGAAGTCAGCAAGAATTAATATAATTTTCAAAGGTATGCTATTATAATAAAAATACTTAAGAACTAGGAGGCTGAGGCAGGAGGATTGCAAGTTGAAGGCCAGCTTCAGAAACTTAGCAAGGTCCTGTATCAAAATAAAAAAAATAAAAGGACTGAGGATGAAGTTCACTGATAAAGGGTCTGTGGGTTTCATCTTAAGTACAAAAAAAGAAAAAAAGGTTAACAATTGGGTTAACTGCCAATTTTCATTATGTTCGGTAAGCAAATAAATAAAATTGAAATTATTCTTGTAATTTAATGAAACAACATACCAAGAAAAGTTTCCTAAACAACATGTCTCATGTCTCTTTTAACTTAGTGATTCTTTTTTTTTTTAATACCAGGGATTGGACACAGGGGCACTTTACCACTAAGCCACATCTCCAGTCCTTTTGATTTTATTTTTTGAATTTTGAGACAGGTCTTGCTAAGTTGCTGATGCTGGTCTTGAAGAGTGTACCACCATGCCAGACTTAATTAGTGATTCTTTATGTTTGTAAAAAATAAAACTTCATGTTTTTTTCCACATGTTTAATATACAAATTAATATTATTAATTTAAAAATCAAAGTAATCAAACACTACTAGTAATTAGTGTTTTTCTTATTCATGAAAAAGCAGTATACTCAGCTTCCATTGAGGTATTGTACAGATAACCTGCATACAAATGTCAGTTCATATTAAAATTTATTTATTTAATTTTTAAAATTTGAACATCAGTAGTATGGAATACTCATTTTTAAAAAGAGGAAAACAGGGGCTCGGGTTATATGTAGATCAGGGGTAGAGCACCTGCCTCACATGTGTGAAGCATTGGGTTTGACCCTCAGTACCACATATAAATAAATAAAAATATTGTGTCCATTTACAACTAAAAAAATATTTTTTTAAAAAGGAAAACAGTATAAATATAATTATTTTGAAAGGAGGAAGAAAGAACTTTCTTGAAATTGTAAGGTGGTATGATAGCAAGCATAGGGATAGCAGACCAGAAGTGAGGAAACCAGTACTAGTTTCATCTCTGCTACTTAGTAAACCTTTTCTTTCAGTTAATTCTGAACACTAAATACGTTTCCCCAAGTGCATTTAAATGTAATAGCCTTCAATGATAAGCATAGGGAGATATTCCTCACCAGGACCAATTTAGGTCAGCTTCTACAGCTTGTGGTTAGACTGATTGTTCTGCTGTGGTCTTACTCTCTTAGGAGGAAGCCCCAAGAGAATTTTTTGGAAAGACGTATTAGGCAAAATTCTACTCTTTGCAACTGATTCCCTCTGCCAAGCCCCCTACTCTTAATTCTATTAGAGGAGCCCAGAGACACTGGGAGGATCACATTACCTTGAAATACTCAACTTTTGGCTTTTTATGAAGCTGAAGGTGATCTCTGTGGGAGGTTGCTATGACAATTTGCAAACAGTAGAGGCGATGGAACTCCGCAGGAGATGGCTCCCTTCTCTTTGGAGTCTGCACTAGTTTGGGCCTGCAAGCTGGGTCCTGCAAGGGGCTTGAAGACGCACGCTGCTGGGTGGAGTGGAATGGACCTGTATCCCCAGGAGAACTTCAAAAACTAGATACCTCTCAGAAAAGAAATCCACAGCATAACTTTCTGCCCTGTCATCTGAGATTTGCCCAGCTTTCCTCTCACGTTCGTAACTGTTGAAATGGCAAAACCGGTGACCTTTGGACAAAAGCATACAATGTGCCACGCAGCACAAGGCGCAGGTGTGAGATGGGCAAGCAATTTTTTTGGTACTCATGGGAAAGAGAAGTAGTACATGGCCAATTAAAAGGGCAGAGAAATTTTTCACGTGTCTTGGAAGGGAAAGAATCATACCAGAGGACGAGAGAATTTAGAGGTGTCGCTCCCTCGCAGCAGAGAGCAGAGAGGAAGGTGTGTCTCTCCCAGTGGCCGCGTGGGGAAAAGGCTTCCAGTTGTAAGGAAATGGGAGGTGTCTCTGATGTTTATTTTTGCCTAGCAACCCACAGCCAACTGCTTCCCCAGATGCCGTCCACAAGCCTCTCTCTGCCTCCTCTTGTCCTAGCGACTGGAGAGCGGTCATTTGGTGTCAGTAAAATCGGGGAGGGTGTGTGTGGCTGAGGTTGAGGTGGGAGGGCAGCCCATCGCCATCGCCCACGCTCAGGGTCACCAGGCTCAGCAACGGCTTCTCCTCGGGGCTTGACTCTCCAGGGTGACCCTAGCACAACTAAGTTATATACATGACAAACTGGAGAGGAGGGTGGTTAAGTCTCTGGGACAGTGGAGTAGGGGACAGTATTGTTTGTGAGCAGCCATTAGAAACTGAAAATGCATTTGTGTTTAGGGGAGCGCTTGGATGGGGAGGGGTCTCTGCGGAGATTTCGGTAGGAGAGAAGCAATGGTAGGTGGAGTAGAAAGGCAAAAGAGGGGCGTTGCGGGGGGGTTAGAGAGGCCAAGGAGGGGAAAAGATCCTTGGTGGGGAAGCCTGCGGGAACAGGGCAGATGGCCGGAGGGGCAGGAGGAGGGCAGGCGGGGGCGGCAGAGTTTTGCAGGAGTAGAGGGGGTAGCTATGCAGAGGATCTGGTGTGGAACTGGGACTCCTGTGGGTGGCTGGGTGGGGGTGGGGTACGTGAGTGTGTGTGGCTAGGGCCGGGGGGAGTCCGGGGAGGGGCCTACGGCGGGGGCGGGGCTGCCCTCCCGGGCCGCGGCGCGCGCGGGCGCTGGTGTGTGAGTGTGCGCGGGGGCGCGCGCGCGAGCCCGGGAGGAGGCTCCCGAGCTAGTGGGTCCTCGCGGCACAGCCCGCTCCCCGCGCCCCTATGTGAGGGAAACGGGGAGCCAGCGGTGCGCAGGGGAGGGCGAGGCATGTGCACGGGCCGGGGGGTGCTGCAGCCGCCCGAGGAAGAGGAGGACGGCGGCGGCGAAGAGGAGAGCGGGGGGCTCGCGGTGGCGGGCCCGGGCGGAGGGGATGCAGCGGACTGTGTGTGTCTGGCTGTAGCTGACGCGAGGCGGCGAGGAGGCGTCGGAGACCCGCGTAAGGGGCGGCCAGGAGGCGGCGGCGGCCGCGAGAAGTAGCAGTGGGACCGGCGGCGGAGACGGCAGCCCTGAAATGCATTTTCCTCTCCAGCGGCCATGTTAACCAGGAAACCTTCGGCCGCCGCTCCCGCCGCCTACCCGACCGGTAAGGAGGGCCGTCCCGCCGCGCCGCCCCAGCCGGCCCCCACCCGGCTCCCGGATCAGCCCTGGCGGGGCGCGCAGCCGCTGCCCGCGGGACCTCGAACAAAGTCGGTGGTGAGGTGCAGGAGAGCTCCGGGCAGACCGTGCGCCCTGGCCTCTGCACCGCTGCGCTCATTGTTGCACGCGGGCCCAGGGCGGCCTCGAAGGGAGCCCTCCTCCCCGGCCTGGGTTCGACCTGCGAGGGCTCTGGCGGGGCCGTCCGGGCCTCCTCCCCTCTGGTCCCAAGCTTGGAGAGGCCGTTGCGCCCTCCTCGGCCAGCCAACCCCCCCTCCTGGCCGCTGGCCGCCTGCAACGTGGGCCGCGAAGCTCAGGCCCAGCCCGGCTTCCCCGCGGGTCGCGAACTCGCGCGCCAGGGCCCGACTTAACTTTGCAGCTGCCTGAGCCCCGCCCGTGGGTGCGCGCTGGGGAACCGGTCCCGACGCCCCCTCACTCCCCTGATGCACGTTTTTGCTGTCCCATTCTCTCCCTCCGTCTTCTGGGAAAGAGGATTCGCTGCCCATTGGGGTGGGGGATCTGGATGACTCTCTCCCCCCTGACCCTCTTTTGTCTCCTCCCGCGTGTGGCTCCCAGGCCGAGGAGGGGACAGCGCTGTTCGCCAGCTTCAGGCTTCCCCGGGGCTCGGTGCGGGGGCCCCTCGGAGCGGAGTGGGGACCGGCCCGCCCTCCCCCATCGCCCTGCCTCCTCTCCGGGCCAGCAACGCTGCCGCCGCAGCCCACACGGTGAGACCCAGCCCATGGGTGGCCAGGGGGGTGGGCGGCGGGAGGGCCCCCGGCAGAAGCACCGGGCTTGTGGGGTTCTGACTCTGGGACAAGTGAGGGCGAAGTGCGGGCAGCTCCACGCCCCTGGCCTGTGGCCTGTCCTCGACGCCGCCCTCTGTAACTTGGGTGAGCCAAAGCTGCAGCCACAAAGGAATACTTGTGGCGTGGGCCCCTCACTTCGCCTCCGGAGCCCGCCCACCCCTGAGATCCTCTTCCTTGGAACTTCCTCCTCGCCGCTTTCCTTCTGTCTTCCCTCTTTTTTTCATCCTTGCTTCCCAGAGCTCCCTTCCCTGACCCGATAAACAGCCCCCCCCCTCCCGTGGGTAGTGGGTATTTATAGAAACAGATATGTTAGGGGACAGCCAGGCCGCCTTGCCCGGAAAATCGATCCCCCAAAGAGCCTCTGAGGCCTGGCTCCAGCCAGCAGGGAGCACCACCAATTGTCCCCCGCGTGTGTAAGCATGTTTTATGAGTGCTACAGGTTTGAGCGCAGCAGAAATTGTAATTAACATTAACAAAAATAAGAGCCACAGCAGTAGTCAAAACAAAACAAGCCACCCCTGTAGGATTCTCTAGTTGGACATTATTCAAAAGGAAAGGGCTAGCTTTGTTTTGTAGGTGGCAAGGGAAGGGTGCCTGACAGGTGCTGTGGCCCCTCTGAGGGCTAAGAGGGAGTGGGGAGCTCAGCTTGGACTGGTGACTGCAGAGATCAGCAAGCTGGATTGGACTTCAACATGTACCTCTTCTCAGCGCCCAGCGATTGCCCTTGGATGGTGACTGGCAGCTTAGAGGAGGTGTGCACTTGAAGGAGGTGGTGGTTTCATAGATCTTTTTACCAGTTGGATCTTTCAGAGGAGCCCCCTAAGGTGATTAGGTGTGAGGGATGCATGGTAGGAATATGGTTTTGTTTGCCAAGTGAAAGTTTGAGTTCCTGTAGAAAAGGCCATTTGTAGCCTGTAGGGGATCATCATGTGTTCTGGGGGAACCTGTTTATTCCAGGAAAAATTGTGAGTGAATGTCTGGGTTGGAGTTATGCCTGTGTGTGTGTGAGAGAGAGAGAGAGAGAGAGAGAGAGAGAGAGAGAGAGAGAAGGAGGCACATTTCAGAGGAAACATTTTCTTGTTATTCATATTCTCTCTCTCTCTCTCTCTCTCTCTCTCTCTCTCTCTTTTCATGACATGTCTAGTCCCAGGGGCTAGGAGTTCACTACACAGATATTAACTAATCTGTATTGGACTGTTGATGGAAGGGAGAGAATCTGCAGGTAGGATGGATGATTCTGTGTATTGCCCTTGAATGTTATTGTCACAGATACTTCAGTTAAGGAACTACCATTGGTTTTAGGGATTTGGATTTTTTTGTTTAGTTTAGAATCATCTGACAGTTTGGAAAATATAACATCCAGTTTTTTTCCATGTGTTGATGTAATCACATGACATGATGTGAACTGAGAAAGAATACTTGGTTTGCATCTGGATTCCAGTTTTTTAAGGATGGGCTTGCTTGATCAGAGCCTCTTTGCCATTGAAATATGTGATGAAATTAGAGAAAACAAAATCACCACTGGAGGAATAACCTGTGGTGTACCAGAAACGTGAATATGTGAGTGTATTTCCCAGTGCTTCTAATGATAAATATCTGTGTTTTGCTGTCTAAGTATGCGCAGTTTACTTGTTTTTAACTTAAGTGTAAACTTCAGTATGCTGTTAATTATTAGATGCTTCGTTTTGAAAATGTGAATTTGGGTTTGAATGTTGTTTAGTTTTGATACTATATGTATAACATCACAGATTTCATAGAATAAGGAAGTTTAAAGGACCACTGAATTTATGGGATTCTATTCCTTCATTTTTAGTTGAGGATGCAGACTCTACAAAGTAACTGGTTTGGTCAAGATTCCCTAGCCAACTCATATCAATACATATTGTACAGCCCCAAACCCTCATGAGACTGGTTTTAATATACTGCCTGGCACTATTAAGTCTAGGAAATTGTATTAGCTGTATTATAAATGCAAGAACCTTTGCAGATTCATATTCCCATATGTCTGTCAGGTTTTTACAAGTTTTTTTGATTTTAATTCCAGAGCAGTTACACCTGGGAAGAATTATTTTAGAATGAGTGGGGAGAAAAGGGCATTAAGGAGAGAAAAATGGCCTTGTCATAGGAGCTTGCCCATATTTTCCCTTATAAATGATATAGTAGACAGGTAAATAAGTGATTATAAAGATTATGATTCTTAGAATTTCCCATTGCCCCTTGTTTTCTGTCTCCTTTTATCTTTTTATACTTATTTAGTTTATTTGTCATTTAAAGTATGCCCAATATCTATCTTGATTCCCAGTAGCTCTTTTTAAAAAAAAAWAWATATATATATATATATAGTCAGGGAGATATTAATATATTTCATTTATAAAATTCCAAAATACTAAAATCTATCACTTTCATGACTTAATGCTTAAAGCACTCTCCAGTTACCTTTATGAAATAATTTGGAGTAAAGAATTAAAGTTCATATTTTAAAAATAATAGTATTTGGAAGAGGAACAAGTTGATATTGTGTAGACTCAGGGCTACATGGGCTGTCTGTGCTGAGGAGGAGCTAACATCCTTTTTAGACTCAGATTTATTCCCATAACAGCACACACAATAGTTTTAGGATGATTTTGGAGAAGTTTGTAAAACCCTGGAAGATATTAACACAGTAAAAAAAAATTGTCAAACTTGTTAAAAGACTATTGTTCTTACATAATTTTTAATACTGAAATATTTCATGGTCAAAGGGAGCTCTTGTAGGTCCTCCTATTTTAAATCCTCACTTATGGATATTTTAACCACTGCATTCAGCCTATGTTTTTAAATGTGACACACACTGTGCTAGACATTAGCAAATCAAATAGGAATAAGCCAGGTTCTCAGCCTTCAGAGGCTCGAGTGGGAGTGAGAGTTTTTTAATAAGTTTATGATGTAGTCCTGGCATAGTATTCTGGAAATGTTCTGGCTTTTCTAATTTTTCATACCCCCTCCACCCCACCTTTATAGATCAGTTAATTGCGCTTTTGAGTTTGGTTGTGATTTCAGAGTCCTGCAGTGTTTGAGGCTCAAATTCTTCTTTGACTTGAGCTCTCACATGAATCCCTTCAATGTCTAGAAAGTTTAAGGTTCTATGTGTGGCTTTTAGGTGTTTAGGTGTCTGCTACAGGTGTTTTTTAACCAACTGTCCTCAGCCTACAAGTCTCTGCTGATGTACTGAGAGCGTAACATCTTGAGACTTAAGTCACCAAGGGACATGTCCTAATGCCCTGGGTATTGACTTCATGTTTTCTTTTGAAGGTACAAAATATATTTCTCAAGAAAACCCCCAAGAAAGGTGAGAATTAATAGCAATTTATTGACATGTATTCTTGTATTCAGCAAATAAGTGCTTATTGTGTATCTGAGTTTATGTTAATAGGGACTTACAAAGATAAGAGGTGGACCCTGCCTTGGAATTACTTAAAACCAATTCTAGGTGGGTACATCTGATATTAAAACAATTACAGTAGAATGAAGTAAGTGTTATTAATTACATGTCAGCACATTTTAAGTACAGAAGGAGCTATATAGTAGGTCAAAGGAGAGTTGAACTAGGCATTGAAGGGTGAGTAGCATTTTATCACCTAGACAGTGGAAGAAGAAGATTCCAAGCAGCATCTGAAATGAACAGTCATAATAGTCTTGATGAAGTAGCTTTGTTACCTTCTCTCTGCAGACAACAACAGTAAGGTTCAGAGAGATTAATTGCCCAAGTTCACATGGTTGATAAATGGTAGAGGTGGGTTTATTTCATGTTTGTCTTACTAGAAATCCCTGGGCTTCTATAAAATGTGACCTCATTGAAAGCAAAGGAATGTAAAAGTGCTTGGTGTTTACATGGGTCTTGGGAAATTCAGTTTTCTTCCTTTTAGTCTAGTGGCAGTGGTAATTGAGACTAGAAGGGCTTAGATTATTGAGGCTCTACATTTTAGGGCCTTGTGTTCTCACTAGTAAGTTGCATTAGCTGTGGTAAGGGGACATAGTTGTGGGCCTTGAGCAAAAGCAAGAACACTCAGATTGACATGTGTAAATGTAACTCTAAAGACATTATGAAGAAGAGACTTAGAGAATTCCAGACTGAGAAACAAGGGTGCATATTATAGAGCTGCTTTAATTGTCCCAGTGAAAGGCAGTGGGTATGTAAGATGCTTATGGAAAAGGTATGCAAAGATAAACATGACTGGACCTCATGGTGGTTTTCGAAGATGGAGGGGGATGCCAAGAGGGTGTTCCAGCTGTGCCATTTCCAGGGCAGGAAATGAGTGACTGTGGAGGTTAAGACTTTTGTTTGTCAAAAATTGAGAATTATGAAAGGATGAAACCATTTTGGTAGAAAAATCACAAGTTGGGTTTGATGTGCCTCTGGATGAGAGAGCTAGCAGTTTGATGTGGGTCTTTAGCTCTGGAGACATGTATTCTGCAGGTCTGAACTAGGGCAGATAGGGCAGACATCAGCCCAGGAGTGATGCTGAAGCCTGACTGAGGTCAGGATGAACCAGGGAATTGTGGGAGTGAGCAACCAAGAGAACTGAGCCTTGAGCCCTGAAGAACCCTGGAACCAACTTAAGGACAGGCAAACTGACAGTTGATACTGCCAAAGGAGACCAACAAGAGAAAGCAGTTGGAGAGGTACAAGATGGTCTGGTTCATGGGGAAACTGTCTAGTTGACTAAAATGTTTGTGATCAATTTTTGAAATATTCCAAACATAAAAATTGCTATAGCAAAAATTAAAGTGAATTTCTGATGTTCAAAAAAAAAAAATGATGGCTATTATTTTAGAAATCCTTAAACCTTCAAGGTTGATGTGGCTTTAAGTTTAATGAAGCATTTCTTATAGCATGTATATAAGTAAGGTGTACTTTCATCCTGCCCTTAAGAGAACAGTTGTGTAGGAGGGATATGTTTTGAATTCCAGGTGTTTTACTGCTAGCGTTTGACAGACCATAGTGGGGAGGAAGGGATGCAGAGAAACAGGTTTGGGAACAAAAGCAGTGAAGACTGTATTAATTTTATATATGCCAAAGGCTTTCCTAATGCATTTTTATGGACTGTCCTGCTTTTGGTGTAGAATGAAGATAAACTAACCTGTCCAGCCACCCTAATATAATACAAGGTCACCTAGCATGGAGTATCAGTATCATATCTGAGTTTAATAAAAAAGATCAACTATAAATCTTAGGAAAATCTCTCTGAGAAATAAGATCCCTGAATCTATGAAGTCATAGACAGGTCCAAGTACTGCCTTCTACTTTGCTTTAGAAGCAAGCTGAGAGAAGCCTCAGTTTGCAGATAATCGTAACACATGGTATGTCTGTCAGCTTAAGAAAAAAGGAAGGGCTTGATCTTCTAGTAGGAAGGATTTAAAATTTCATTTTATAATTCTGGTGTCCCAGAGCATTTCTTGACTTCTTATGTTACAACTACAGGCACTTTTTTCCCCCCCTAGTGGTATAAAAAGCCCCAAAGGTAGACTTTAGCAGGGGATAATAGAAAAAAATACTGATGACAAAGGCCTTCAGCTAGTTTATTGTAAGCTCTTAAAGGGCATCCCACCCTCCCAGTTTTGTGGCTAGACCTCTGGCAGTACCAGGTGAATAAATGAGGTGAATTGTGAGTGATAAGTTGGTGTTTGAGATTTCATATAAAAATCACTAGCAGGCTGCTTTGAAGGAAATCAGGCATGTTCTCAGAATGCCTAGCCTCTTGGTTTCCCAGACCAATTTTGTTTAGACAAGACAGTTCAGGGGTGCACCTGTGCCTGAAATAGCAGTTGCTTTTTTGTATTCCCTATTAGAAAGTCAAGTGTCCCAGAAGCCCATAGAAATAAATGTCTTCTGAGGGTAGAGCCATTGACCAAAGCAAGGCCCCAGACATTGTGGTGGTTGCTTGGTTTGTTGAGCTGAATGGCCTTAAATGGTCATTACAGTTAGTAAAGCCCAGAAACTTTTAAAAATAGATCAGAGGCTTACAAGATAACCGTGGTACATATCTTTGTGAGGATCTTTCAAGCAGAGTTTTGCTTTGTCACTGAATCATATATATGTTCCTAGATTTCCAAGGAGAAGGGAACACTGATGATTAAGCAGTTTGGGACTAGATCTAGATATTGGAGAAAGAGTATGTAACTCTTGTCCTCATGTTATAAAGAAACTGCTGTGTAAGGTATGGAAGATGCTGTGATCCCAGGGTTGGGAGCCAGTGTAAATTCTGATGTGCTAATGCTTTTCCAGCGTCCACTGTCATTTTTATGTTAAGTATGAATTGAGTGGAACACCTTTGATAGGCCAGACGTGGTATTAAATGTTAGGGGATAATAGAAAAAGATGAACAAGAAAGATTGGTCTCTGCCTCACAGAAGAACTTACTATAAGGACTCTAGCTTTGCAGAGCAACCTGCTTATCTGTTAGATTTCACAGTTGTGAGGTCCCTCTTTCCTGTGTTTTCTAGCCTTACTCAGTCACCTGATTGCTTTTTCTTTTATTGTATCAGAGCCTGTTAGCATCATCTCCATTCTCTGTCAGTGTGTTCATGGGGTCTCTCCATTTAGTAAAACTAATTCTGGCTATGGATTCAAACCAAAGTGGATTTTTGTAAAGTTAGGGGATGGTGACTGACTTATAAAATCTCACATTTGAACAGGCAGAGCTCTTGCATTCTATTTATGTTTCCTGTCTCAATTCCAGATTGGTGGCAGTAAGCACACAATGAATGATCACCTGCATGTTAGCAGCCACAGCCACGGACAGATTCAGGTTCAGCAGCTGTTTGAGGATAACAGTAACAAGCGGACAGTGCTCACAACACAACCAAATGGGCTTACAACAATGGGCAAAACCGGCTTGCCAGTGGTGCCTGAGCGGCAGCTGGAGAGCATTCACAGACGGCAGGGGAGCTCCACCTCTCTGAAGTCTATGGAAGGCATGGGGAAAGTAAAAGCCACGCCCATGACTCCTGAACAAGCAATGAAGCAATACATGCAAAAATTAACAGCCTTTGAACACCATGAGATTTTTAGCTACCCTGAAATATACTTCTTGGGTCCAAATGCAAAGAAGCGCCAGGGTATGACAGGTGGACCCAACAATGGTGGCTATGATGATGACCAGGGATCATATGTGCAGGTGCCCCACGATCATGTGGCTTACAGGTACGAGGTCCTCAAGGTCATTGGAAAGGGGAGCTTTGGTCAAGTGGTCAAGGCCTATGATCACAAAGTCCACCAGCATGTGGCCCTGAAGATGGTGCGGAATGAGAAGCGCTTTCACCGACAGGCCGCAGAGGAGATCCGAATCCTGGAACACCTGCGGAAACAGGACAAGGATAATACCATGAACGTCATACACATGTTGGAGAATTTTACCTTCCGCAACCACATCTGCATGACATTTGAACTGCTGAGTATGAACCTCTATGAGCTCATCAAGAAGAATAAATTCCAGGGCTTTAGCCTGCCTTTGGTCCGCAAATTTGCCCACTCGATTCTGCAGTGCTTGGATGCTTTGCACAAAAACAGAATAATTCACTGTGACCTTAAGCCCGAGAATATTTTGTTAAAGCAGCAGGGTAGAAGCAGTATTAAAGTGATTGATTTCGGCTCCAGTTGTTATGAGCATCAGCGTGTCTACACATATATCCAGTCACGTTTTTACCGGGCTCCAGAAGTGATACTTGGGGCCAGGTACGGCATGCCCATTGATATGTGGAGCCTGGGCTGCATTTTAGCAGAGCTCCTGACAGGTTACCCCCTCCTGCCTGGGGAGGATGAAGGGGACCAGCTGGCCTGTATGATTGAACTGTTGGGCATGCCTTCCCAGAAACTGTTGGATGCATCCAAACGAGCCAAAAATTTTGTGAGCTCCAAGGGTTATCCCCGTTACTGCACTGTCACGACTCTTTCAGATGGTTCTGTGGTCCTCAATGGAGGCCGTTCCCGGAGAGGGAAACTGAGGGGCCCACCGGAGAGCCGAGAGTGGGGAAATGCACTGAAGGGATGTGATGATCCCCTTTTCCTTGACTTCTTAAAACAGTGTTTAGAATGGGATCCTGCAGTTCGCATGACCCCAGGCCAGGCTTTACGGCACCCCTGGCTAAGGAGGCGGTTGCCAAAGCCTCCCACTGGGGAGAAGACTTCAGTGAAAAGGATAAGCGAGAGCACTGGTGCTATCACGTCCATTTCCAAGTTACCTCCACCTTCCAGCTCAGCTTCTAAACTGAGGACTAATTTGGCACAAATGACAGATGCCAATGGGAATATTCAGCAGAGGACAGTGTTGCCAAAACTCGTTAGCTGAGCTCAAGTCCCCCGATGCTGGTAATCTGAAAGATACGACATAGCTGAGCCTTATTGGGTTGAAAAGGAGTAGCTCAGACCTGTTTTTATTTGCTCAATAACTCAACTCATTTGTATCTTTTCAGCACTTAATTTTAATGTAAGAAAGTTGTTTGTTTTGTTTTTATAAAATACATGGGGACAATGCTTTAAGTTTTTATACTTTCTGAAACTTTTTGTTTTCTACAAGTACGATGAGCCTTACTGTATTTAGTGTGGCGGAGTAATAACATCAGTGGCAGGCCATTGATTACTTCATGACTGCCACGCATTTACAGATTGGTCAAAGACATTCACTATGTTTTTATGGTTCGTATTCTCCCCTTCTCTCTCCACACTCCAGGTTCATGCACAGGTGTAGCATGTCCTGCTTCTTTTTTCCATAAATAAATCTGGGTGGTAGTGGTGGTGGGAGGACAATGGTCAGGATGAAAATGATATTCTAAGAAAAACTGCACCTTAGAGATTTTGTTCCTGAAGTAATGATCAAACAAATACAAAATAAGATCCCCAAGTTTTAAATTGCCCAGTTAGCATTCTGACATTTTAAAAGCTGGCAAGGCAGCATTTTGGTGGCTAAGTGGAAACGGAAACGTGTGTGTTCCTCCAAATTTTCTACTCTGATCGGCAAGCTGTTTTGTCAGGAAGCCTCCTATTTCAAGATTGGTTATGCACCTAATTTTAGAAATGTATTCCATGACTGTTCCTCACTTCTCTGCTCTTCTCTCTGTTCCTCTTTCACCACACATCTGTTATCTGCATTTAGTTTGTCTTCTTTCTTCAGCTGTACATCCCAGACTGTTAATTCAGAAAGAGACATCTCAGCTGTGTGATTGTGACCACCACTTCATATTCCAATTTTTAAAAGAACAGCAGTCCAGCTACTGAAGGTGGGGATTTCCATAGTTCCAAAGAAGATTTAGCAGGTTAGAGTGAGTTCACACGTTTCAGGTGCCACTGCAAGGTTCCCTTAGCCTGGGAAAGTATCAACTCTCTCTTTAAAGAAAGAAAGAAAAAAAGCAGGGTTGAAAACCCTCTTGGTGAACAGAAATCACTGTGGCCATTCAGTAAGGCCAGCTTTAACAACACATTTAAAGGAAGAGAAGTTCAACCTCAAGTTAAATGGTTTGACTTATTCTTTGCATCTTTAGAAGAACCACAGAATTTGCATTCCTCTATTTTATTTTACTTTCTTTTGGATTGCACTGATTGTTTTTGTGGGAATGACACTTTACCTGGGAAAGTAACCGAGAGTTAGGTAAAAGAATATTTTCTTCTCTGAATAATAATTATTTTCACAGTGAAAATTTCAGTATTTTATCACTAATGTATGAGCAGTGATATATATCAATTTCAAGGCACGTGGAAAAATTTTTTAGTATGTGCAATTTAATATAGAAAGATTTCTGCCTGTTTGGACAATAGGTTTGGGGTAGTATAAATTAGGATAAATAACCTTTTATATGCACAGATATTATTGTATTGCCTGTAAATTGATTTACAAGTACTTAAAGCATGGTCCCCAGTGAGGCCAAGAAAGTTTCCGGTTAAGTTCTTTTAATATGAATCCTACAGTTTCTTTTACTTTAAGATAAAAAAAATTGTAGTTTTGGAAAAAAAAAAAAAACATTTTACTTATCTTGAGGCTTTGCTGGTTGATGGTGGAAAAATATGCTCAGGAAATATTTCAGATATTTGCCAAAAAAACAGTAATAAGATTAGCTTATTAATAAGATGGTGATATTGATATTTGCTTTACTATTTAAAGGTGTCACTGATAAATTAATTTGTACTTATGTATTTAGAAATTATAGCTTATTTCCCCTAGTCAAATTTTTTAGCATATTGTACACATTTATGTGTAATCTGTGAAAGTGCAATAATATATTAGTAACTTGCATTTTAAATAATGCTCATGTGATGAAACCCCCAATCAGTGGTTTATAGGACTTAAACATTTGAGTATTTATTGAGATTTTGGCTTAAAGGCTTAAGAAGTAAAAGACTTGGTTTGGTGACTTTGTAAAACCATGAGTCTCTTAATGATGGTTAGCTTCTTGAGGTCATTAAAATAAATAAAAACACATAAAGGTCATATTCCCCTTATAATTCTCCTCTTCCATTTCCACTCTCATTTTTACATTTTGGCTCAAATACATGAGACTGAGCCTGCCGTTATTAATTTTCCTATAAAATGATTATACATATGAAAATTTACATTAAATAGTAAAAATAAAAGTTTGTCTTTTCCCCACCACACAAAACTGGTTCTTAAGATGCCAGCAATGCATTTGTGACTATCTTTATTCACAAATGCAACCGGAAACTTTTAAGCCAAACTATAATGTGCAGTGCTATGGGGCTTTTTTTTTTTCCTCCTACCCAAATACAGTGAAAGTTTCTATATACATGAGAGCCGCCACGTTTAAGTGTTTAGTGACAGAGCTGCTTTTAAAAAATTCTAGTTGGATTATACTATCAGAAAAAAAAAATGTTGCATCTTTGTGATTTTTCAAAACCTAAAATATAAAGGGCTCTGTTAGCTACTAGGAATCGGCTTGGAAACAGTCCTTGGTCTCACAGGTTACCATTGTCTAGGGATGTCTGAGCTGTTGTCAGATTTAGGAATAGTACAGTGTTGTCTTGTCTTTGGTTGCAGTCTCATTTGGCTCCGTTTCTTGCACCACCAGAGTGTTCATTGCCACTTAAGTGTATTGCTACAACGGTGGAACAACAGTGATGCAAGACCGTGTAGATTAACAGTAGAGGAGAAATTGTGCCCTTAGTGTTAACAATGTGCCTTTTGTTCTGAATGCCATGTTGTAGGGCATGCATTTTTTGGCCTCTTTAACTCTTTGAATGCTAGGCAGTAAGGATGGAACCCACCTCTGCAAAGATACATCTGTCTTAACTATCTAGTTACAGGCCTTAATAGAAACCATAAGGCATGAATCATCATTGGGTGTTGAACAAGATAACCATTGGCTAGTTACACAGGGAATCCCTGTGTTTAAGGGGTTAAAGATGTCCTTTGTTGTATCTTAACATCAGACTGATTTTTTAAAGGATATTTTTTTTGTTATGCTAACACTAGACAAAAATCAACTGTATTTGTAAAAATTTACCTCAAACCATTTAATTTTATAGTGTGATTAATCCCAGGGCATTTGGTATGAACCAAAGTGCATTCCTTTTATATGTGCCTGGCTCTAGTAAGGATGGCCAGGGATTTTTACAATATGGGTGCAAGGCACTTAAGCCACTTTTAAACTTAATGGGTGGTTTGGAGTCATGTTAAATGACTCCATCAGAATGTTAGAAAACACTTTAGGCATCAGTAGCATTGGGCCATATTGGAATCTTCAAATACAAGTGTGAATTATTTTAAAGAGAGCATTCATTTTTGTAATTTTTTTCATCAAAAATATTTCTGGTAAGCAGAAGACTTTTTAAAAATCTGATTTGGTTGGTAAAGGTTTTAATATTGCCCAACATAATGCTGTGGTAGCATTTAAAAAACAAGTATTTGTGAACTCTTTCTTTCTTAGGGGCTTGTACATCTCTCTGCTATGGACATATATAAAATTAATTGTAATTATACTCAGCTCAACTGCTACAGTTATGTCTAGGCAGTGGCTTGGGTTTTTATCGAGCAACAACTTAGRCACGTGACTGTAATATGCTGCAACTGTGTGTACTGAAAATATGTGAAAATGGTTGAATGTGGACTGTGTATATATGTATGTAAAAATTTCTGTGAGATGCTGCTGTCGCCACTTAACATGAAATATGTTCTAGTGGATTTTAATCCTAGTGGCCAGTTCTATGATACTGTATGTATTGTACAGCTGATGACAGGAGTAAGACTGTTTAGTGAATATTTGTTAAATTTTATTGTTGTGGCCAGAGATAATTTCAGAATAAAATTTTAATGTCCTACCTTACTTTTCTCCCCTTTTCTAACTATAATTTAACTCCTGATCTATTGCTGGTATCATTCTTGGTCTGCTAGTCTGGAGAGAGTTTAGAATGTTAAACAGATAGTTCTATATCAGTGACTTGAGAAGTTAAAATAGTCCATTCTACTGGTTTGTTCATTGGCAATAATTATTAGTTTAATTTAGATGTGCAGACTTCAAGTAAGAGAGATTAAATATTTAATAGGCAGTTCTTGGTATTCTCAGAATATTCTATTTTTTTTACATTCAATGTTTTTATGTTACTCTTTCACATGGTATTAACCATATTCTACCATGCTAGAGCCTCAGATCTTTTTTTTTTTTTTTTTTTTTTTATGCTCTAGAGTGGCAGTTGAGCTATGGGGACAGAGTCTGTCCATTCTTCCCCACCAATCCTCATAATTTCCTACACACAATATCTGGTAAATTATTAGTATGTGCTCTCTCCTGCTCCACCCCATGCTTTTTAATGTGAATGTGTTTGCAGTTTTTGTACTTGGTGTTCTCTGTAGTTCACATTTTGGGGTTTTAGTGTCTCTTGTCATGACTGGGTCAGAACTAAAGCCTGTGAACTACAACTGGCTCATGGAGTGTCAAGTTCAGTTAACACCAAGCTAAGAGTTTACTCACAGATGACAGCAAGCAGATGCTCTGGTAATTTGTCAGACATTGCAGGGATATTATGTAGACAAATATTTCCCTCATGTGGAAAGAACTACCTCACATTTGTATTTACATCCCTCCTGCCACCAGCAGCCGAGGAATTACTTGGTGTGTTTTCCTGCATCAGTAATGGGATTTGCTCAAACAAGGGAATAGTGTGAGAGTTCCACAGCCCAGGTTTTGTCTTATTATAAACTATGCTATAAATTTCCTTTTTTTTTTTTTTGCCTATTTTGCCTTTCAAAGTTCATGTCCAATGCAAAAAAAAAAAACAAAAAATAAAAATAAACAAACCCAATTAACCAGACAACCTAAAGCAAAACAATACAATTAGAGATAAAAAATTTAAGAGATAAGCATTACATATAAAGTTGGAAGTTAGTACTAAAGCAGCAATTGTTTTCAAATATATTGTCCATATCTGACCCAGGGGAGATGATAGTTCCCACTTTTATTCAAATCTTTCAGAGCTTTTTCTAAAATTGATAAATGTTATATTCTTTTGAATCTCTATAATCACTTCCC